CTTTATTGTTTTAAAATTTAACTTATCTCTAAGTTGACATGGAATGAGAACATGGGCTATAGATCCCCACTTCCTGAGATGACTCAAATTAGGTTTCCTCCCATTCCATAATTCATAAGGTGTAGATATAACTGATTTAGTGGGAATTCTATTTAAAATATAGTTTGCAGTTAACACTGCTTCTCCCCAAAAGTTTTTAGAAAGTCCAGAATGAGACAACATGCATCTAACTATATTTAATAATGTTCTGTTTTTTCTTTCAGCAACACCATTCTGTTGTGGCGTATACGGCATTGTTGTATGCCTTTTAATTCCATGCTGAATACAATAACTTTCAAATTCTTTAGAATTATATTCTCCACCTCTGTCAGTTCTCAAAATTTTGATTTTCAATCCAAGTTGATTTTTAACTTCTGTCTTATATCTCTTAAAGCACTCAAAAGCTTCTAATTTTTTGGATATAAGATAAACGTGTGCAAACTTAGAATAATCATCTATAAAAGTAATAAAATATTTTTTATTACTATGAGTTTTGATACTTAAGGGACCACAAATATCCGAGTGTATCAACCCTAAAAGTTCATTGGCGCTATGTCCGCCAACAAAAGGTTTTCTAGTCATTTTACCAGTTAAATAATGTTCACATGGTGGTAATTGAACATTAGATAGTGCAGGAAGTAAGTTCATTCTGATAATTTCTTTCATTTTTGAAATACTAGCATGTCCTAGTCTAGAATGCCACAATTCAGATTCAGAAATATAACAAGATAAGTAGTTCAAATTCGAAATTTTATTATCAGAATTATTACAAACTACTGGAAGAATGCATAATTCATGCTCGGGCACATATTTACCCATAGCATACACTTTATTATTCTTGCCTATAGAAACTCTATTATTATAGAACATCACTTCCAGTCCTTTCTTCATCAAGCTGGGAACAGAGATCAGATTGCATCGAATTCCTGGCGCATAAAACACATCTTTAAGGACAAGAATGCTGTCCCCAAGATCCAATCTATACGAACCAATACCTTCTACATCGAGATAGGTATTATTTCCCATATAGATTCTCTGTTCTCCTTTCTTCAGCTTGGTGAATTCTACGACTCCATTCTTGTCCTTTGCGATATGACTAGTCGCACCGGAGTCGATCCACCAACCACTGATATCCGTCATCACAGCATTACATTCCGTCACACCGACGAATTCTCTTTTACTAGTACCCCTTGTTCTGATGCTTATAGCCTCCCTTATTCTCCTGCTTTTCACCTTGTGGGCAATTGGGTTTGAAATGCCCGAACTTTCCACAATTGTAGCAGGCTCCGCGGGGTACTTTCTTTCTCTTGAACTGCTGCGATTTTGGTCCTTGTGGTTGTGGTTTACTAGAACCAGTGTTTTTATAGCTTCCAGCATTATGCCTCTGGCGGACATAATTCAGTTCTTGTTGCACCATATTCAGTTCTGGTTTCTTCCTACTGGCTATTAAGTCCTGTTCTATCGCTAGGTGCATAGGAAGATCAGTGACAGACTTAATGGCAGGATTCATTCTTAATGTGGTGGCAGCCACAGCAAGTGAAGGGGGAAGACTATATATTCAAAATGGTTGTCACTTGCATTCTTTCCGGGATTTTGGTCCCAGCAGTGGATAAGTCCTTAGCCATGACAATCATTTTATTTATATGCTCTACGACATTGTCTCCCTCTTGCATACGATAAGAATTATACTTATGCAAGAGGAGTTGAATGTTAACTTCAGAAGCAGTATCGTATTTTTCTTTTATTGCATTCCACATGTCCAAGGAAGTCTTATAAGTTTCAAAAACTTTGATTAAGTTATCTTCCATGAACATGAGCATAAGACTTTTCGCCTTTTTATCTTTCGACTTCCACTGTTCAAACCATTTCTTTTCTTCAGGTGTAGATTTATCAGTAAGGGTTGGAGCAGTGATTTCGATTATATCATCAATGTTGTCATGAATAAGAGCATATCTTATTTTTTTATGCCACATATCATAATTACTGCCATTAAATTTGTCAATTTTGCCTAGTTCTGATAGAACGAGTTTACTAGCCATTCGGTAAAGAACTAAAACTAAATTCAATTTTAAATATTTGTATAAGGTTGATATTTTAACAATAATACTAAAATATAATAAAACTAAATAAATTAAAATGAACCTGATTCTTGTGAGTTGAGAAATGAAGCTCCAATTAAAGCGAGGCCGCCACTTAGAGGTGTTGACCGAAGAATCTGTTATCGAAGTTTCAACGTCGTTACTGACTGGATTGGAGATTATCAACTTGGAACAGCCGGGCCAGCAAACAATCACAACACTCAAGGTCTAACAAGAAGGCCCAATATATGTTAATGCAGATGTATGTTTTGAGCTCACGTGCTTTGATGGGAGAGAGCTTTGAAGATGTGTTAATAGGACATTTGTAGGACCAATGAACAATAGGGATGTAGGCTGCTAGTTGGTTGTATTCATGTGAATGTAGGTTAGGCTTGTAGGTGTAGGCCTGTGGCTAGGCTATGAAGAAAGAGTAGGACCGAAAATAAAAGGGAGGTCTGTTGCTAGATATAGAATAGGCTATGCCTTGTAGATAGATTGATGATGGGTGGTTGATAGACTGCTGGTTGTAGGACCCCAAAACAAAAGAGATGTAGCCTTAAAAAAAATTGTGACAAGACTTGCCTAGAGTGGCTTTTGGGGCTGGTTGATAGATTGTTCTTCTGCCGAATGCTCCTCCTTCTTCTTCTTCAACAGGGTGCTTCTTTCTTCAAGAACTAGAAAAATGGAGAGAGAAAACCTGGCTCTGATACCAGTGATTGAATTCAAAGAAGAAGAAAGAACAGATTTTTGAGGGGCTCCGATAATGGGTAAGTGGGTTTTCTTTTGATTTTCGTTGTGTTTTTCTCAAGGAGAATGATCCTCCTTATATAGGGGCTTAACCCATCATCTCTACCCATCAGATCCGCCCCCATGAGATATTTTCTCTCAACCACCCATGATTCACGTTCTCCACCATTCTCTCAACAGAGAAACAGTGGTTGATTTGGTCATCAGTGACCAAGTCAAGCTAACAGTTTGGGAGGGGAATGGGGTTACAGAAACTTTTCTGTATTGAACATTGATTTCTAATACTTATGTACTGTAGTTATGTTCTACTTATATATTTTATTTTTTAATTTTTTTGAATTTTGTGGTTAAACTTCACAAGAAATCCCCTTAATGTACGTTTTGAGACAACCCATTAAATTTAAAATGTCACAAAACCTCTTTAAGTTTGGGTGGTTATGAGAAAAACCCCTAGAGTTTTTTTTTTTTAAAACGACACTTAACCTACGTCCAAGCCAATTGCAGATCATATGATAGATGTTGATGCACAAGTAATAAAAGATTTTAAAGCTGAAAATAAGTACTTTGGATTTAAGAAAAGTTTCTTTACTATAAAATGTTGAGTTGAGTTCAGACATACCTGACTATATAAAACACAGCAGAGGAAATAACTCTATGGGATATACTAGATACGTTGTATTTATCCATGTAAAAACCAAATCTTAGAACTGGAACCCATTGGCACTATACCAGAAAAAGAATAAAAAATAAATTAGCCTTTATTGCAGACTTTTGGGCTGAGCTACACAAATCCTTTTCTTCCATTCTAACATCTCAAAAGCAAATATCCACACCTGTAAATTGCCTTCACTTTCTGAAACATCATGTATGAGCGAAAGGGAAGATTCTCATATGTTTTGCTGTCACGAGGTCAACATGACAAACAAATAGGAGAGCATATTGGGTAAAGACGCCTTTCTGAAATTAGCAGATCCATTCTATTCAGTGATGCACGCAATGGCTATGATGTTTATGAATTCGCGATGGCACAACAAGGGCTAAATGATGTGATTTGAATGCATGAGAGTCATATTGTAAATGGCCCAATTTGAAGGGTTTTGTTGCAAATTGAAAGCAACACAAGCAGCAAACAAAAGCAAGCAGCAGCAAGAAAAATGAAACAAAAGTGGCAGCAGGCAACTGGGACCAGCTGGTATACTGGCGGGGTCTTTTGATCGGTCGGACTGACTGGTCAGATCGCTCGTGTGTTTTCTTGAACAGTTTGAGTCCTATTGACTCTAGGCTTTCATCTCCTATTTGGACACAAATTCTACCCAATTTAGGCGGTGTTTTCTGAGATCTAGGGTTTTCATGCCAAAAGAAACTCCATCCAGTTCATGTTGTAGAGAGGCTGAGGTAGAGAGACTAGGAGAGATCAATTCTTGTGAGGATTTGCAAGCTAGGATTTGAGAGATCTTGTAATTTTATTAGAGAAAATAAAGGAACTCCGCTCCCTGTCTCCCGTAGACATAGACTTATTACCGAACCATGTTAATCTCGTCTTCTTACTTTGTGATTGCATGCTAGTTTTCTTTGAGATTGTTTGTTATTCACTAATAGGTTCGGCACAAACCCTAAAGGTGAGAATTTTAATTCCCAACAATTCAAATGGTAGTGAGCTCATAACACAAGATGTACAGTGCATCTTAACAACATCCATTTCACTGGTCATAGAGCAAGTAAATATGTTTTTGATAGCTTTATATTGCAATGAACTGTTTGCCATGGTCATCTTGCAAAGGATTCACAGCATGTTATATATATTATTTTTATTTATTGCTGTCATGTCAAGTGATGGCTCATATTGTAATCACCAAACTGCTATTACTTTTCGAGATCTTGCTTTCATCTTTCATATTCAAATCTTGCTTCTTGAAATTAATTTACTTAGAAGGCATCAAAAACCTAAAACAAGCAGTGCACGTTGGTCATCTGTTATTTCTAGTTAAACATGAGTTTTTCGTACTGTACCTCCTCAAATTTTCAAGATTTAGCCTCTGTTTCTATATAATTTTTGAATGATTTTTAGTCTTTTTTCTTGGAAGAAAGTACTAAATGATCGTGGACAATGATCACGATTATATGTTTTTATTACAGGCATTTGGTTGGGCGTATATTGATAACAGTCACAATACATGGGAACATTTCTACGTCTATTGGATTCCCTCCTTCACCGGTGCCATTCTTGCTGCTTGGATTTTCAGGTTCATTTTCCTGCGAACTTCAACCAAGGTTAAAAAGGCATGAGGTCTCAACATCAAGTAATAGTGAGAGGCATCTATCTCCTGATGATGATCATCAGTTCCTAAAAGACCAAACAAATAGGTTGCCCTTCACGTTCTCATTTGTGTATTTGTTCCCACTTAGTAATTTAATGAAGTAGTGAATCACTGTAGGACTGGCAATAAGTTCATTTGCTGCTTTGTATTACTATGAACTATACTGAAATCTACATAGGTGCAGCAGTAATGTACTATCTTGTTCGCAGAAATGATGCTTTTCTTAAGATAAATTGATAGATCAATTGCGAGTCATAGGCTGTTCAACGGTTATTTGCACCTGAGAGTCTGAGACTCAATCCGTAGGTCATAAGCTGGTATACTATTGTAATGGGATTGTGTTCAGTTTCTGGACTTCCTAATCATGCAAGTAGACTTTGATTATTATCCTACTTCTCCTTTAGATATGTTCGCTACGGTATCTCGAGAAATAATCAATATTACTAAAACTTGAAGCCGCCACGGTTGTTTACCAACTTCAGGTTTGTGGGATCTCTCTCACTGAGTTTAAGGTTTTGTTATCTACTATCTTGCTTCATCCTTTATGACCGCAATTTATTAAAATGGCTCTGTTTGGGAAGTTGGCATAAACTAGGCCAATTTTGGTTTATTTTTTAACAAGGCCAGAGTTGGTCCAGGGTAGGGGCTGGACCAATTCTGGCTTGGTTAAGAGTAGGGGTGTTAAACGGGTGGGTTTGGGCATTAAACGGGCGGGTCATAAATGGGCGGACATGTTTTGCCCATTTACCCATTTATGGCCCATTTAATATTTTCTAAATGGGCGGGTTTTTACCCGCCCATTTAATAAACGGGCCGCCCATTTGCCCATTTAACTATAGTAGCTATATATGTATAATGCTTTTAAGATGTTTTTTGTAAACTTTTAGGGGTTTTTTTTGTAAACTATTAGGGGCTTTTTGTAAACTTTTTGAATTATCAAAATATGCATAGGCATGTACATAACCCATTCAGGAATAGCATGAACATATTGAACAAGATAGCATTAAAATTACCAATCATGTATTTTTTTTCTTTTTATTATGCCAAGCGCAAATAACTCAAAGAATACATCACTTGCAAAATGATATACATTGTTTATTACGATAACCAATGCCACAAGAAGCCACTTATGCCACATCAAAAAGAAATTCAAATAGAATTCAAATAGAGCACAACTTTTTCGAACATGCAAACCTGTCTTATGAATAAGTATCACAACTCGCCTTAAAATGCCACAATAACCCCAATCAAAGGAAAAATACAGACAGAATTTTGATGGGATAGGGATCATAACAAACACATTAACCAAACATCAAACCCCTCACGAGAGTCCACATAATTGTTGAACTGACAATTATTCATTTCAAGCATTGCAATGCGAGGGACCACACCAAACCCAAATAGAAAAAGGAAACACAACAAACCTAAAATCCCTATTCATTGAGATAATCACCAAGCCTCTCAACAATCATATTGCACTGCCCAAGAGTCATTGGCTCATCATAAATGCCGAAGATCAAAGCAAGATTAGTTTTCTTGATTGTAACACCTCATGCACCCTGAAAGAAACAAGCAAACAACCAGCTCAATTATGTTAAGGATAAATATCTTTGTATAAAAGCAGAGCATAAAACCATGAATAATTTTATTATGTTTCTCTTTTCTATAACAAGCAACTGCAAATTTCATCATGTGTCACAATACATGAAACAGATGCACCCAACTTTAGCAGCCATGGAAAGTTACTTCTCCTTCAGCATGTCTTTCATTCATTCACAACTTAAGCAGATTTAGAAAAAGACAATGATATGTAAATAGTTAAGGTTTCAATGTATGAAAAGGATGTTCGGTCTGCAAAGATATTCTAGAATATAAAATTATAACCGACAATCCTTATTGTAAATTGAATTTTGGCAATATGAGAGAGTTTGAGGAATACGCTGCTGACTGGCATTCTCATTTACTATTTGTCTAAATTTGAGCACTCGTTACACTCTTGTACAAGGAAATTAAGCTCATCTACTTTGTGCTTAGATACATGGAACTCTTTTAACTAAAAAAATTAAATAGCCAACTATAAGCACATGTTCCTGTACTGTATTCAAACCAAACAGAGAAGCAATCCATATCACAGGTGAATAGACTCTAAAAATATACTAGAGTTGTAACAAAACAACCAAATACGAAAATACAACTATTAATTGCACATTTTCTATCAACCATGTTTGCACACCAACCATAACCATTAAGAATATGGAAACATAATCCTCAGTCTTCCCACAATATCGAAATTTTGGTATTACGCAAAACACATTAAGATGGAGATTCAAATCGTATCAGATACAATTTTAAAATGGATTCAGAAAAGGTACCGCTGCACTAAATAGTTCAGATTTCAATAGTTAAATTGATACTACGCCCGCAAACACATGCTCTAGAATGCAAAACTGTTCTCACCGTAATTTTGAAATTTTGCTACAAGAGACTTTAAGGAATATGTTGCTAGCTAGCAGTCTCGTTTACCCTCTGTCTACTGCAAACTAACATTATCTACTTTGGCCTAGATTGTTCACATGTAATTTGGTGACAAACATTTGTCGACAAGTGTAAAGTGTTTATTAGCACTCTTAAATAAACGAACAAAGTAGAGCCAATTATAAGCACATGTTCCTCTATTGTATTCAGACCATGCAGATACACATGGGTCCATTCTCACAACGTAATCCAACCCTGAATTGAAAGTAATAAAAAGGTAATTCCAATCCTTGGAGTTGCACTGACAATTTCCTCCAAAGATAAGATATCGGTTTTTTATGCATTCCATACTACGTAGTAGTAGAAGAAACAACGAAGATCTCATTCAAGGGTTCTACAAGAAGATGAAAGATGAACTTGGAATGTGTATATACTTTCTGGGTGTGAAGTTAAACAGGTTAATAAACACCGCCCATTTAGCGCCCATTTAGTATAATTTAAAATAAACCCGCCCGATTAGACCCATTTAACTAAATGGGTGGGTTTTGGGCGGGTCAAGTAATGGACGGGCTAGGTGGGTAAATGGGTATGGGCAAAAATTGACTTCCCTAGTTAAGAGGTGAAAAATGAACTTGAAAAAGTTAGGCCAACTTTGACTCGGCTCTTCCCAAACACAAAACATATTAAAAAAACCGAGCCATGTTTGAAACTTACCCATTTTTAGTGAATTGCTAAACAGGCCCATAGATTAAACACGTGTTAGTATTCCTGTGGAATGTCACGTGCCTCAATTTAGATAATCCAGGCATGAATATCATAAATTTTATAATGTCATGGAATCAAATTCGTTTCTGTTATGCGAACCTCAATTTAGATATTGTTTCTATTCATATTTGTAGGCTATATCACAAGAAATTATTGGCACACACGAGTTGCAGATAATTACACTTGATTATAAGCGAGACTGTAGGTACAATGATGTGATCGATTCTTTGGCTAGTACTGAAATCACAAATACAACACCAGTTTCTACATTGTTTGAGATCTTCAACTACTCGGCAAGAAATAACTCGGAGCACGAAGTAATAAATGGAGGAAACTGATTCCATAAAGTTAAGATAATGGAAAGGTCAGCTTTTTAAATTTCTGCATTTTCTTTCTAGTGAGATCCTAAGAGCTCTTTTGTGTTGTGCGCAACAGAAATTTCGGCAGCACTTCTGGTGCACAACGAGAGAGTAAGATCACAACTAAATCCGTGTTTCACAAAGAAAACAAGAATCAAAAGTGATATATCTCAACAAAGTGGGATATACACTCTTCCTCTCATGTTTCACAAAGAAAACAAGAATCAAAAGTGATATATCTCAACAAAGTGGGATATACACTCTTCCTCTCATCAGTTCTAGGACTGACTTGTCTATCTCAACAAAGTGGGATATACACTCTTCCTCTCATCAGTTCTAGGACTGACTTGTCGAGAGAACCTAAACAAGCTATTACAAATCACAGCAAGACAAATTATTTTACGTGGTTTGGCAAGTTGCCTACGTCCACGGGGCAAGGAGGGTGGAGATCTACTATTAGAAAAAAAGAGAATACAAATAGGGTTTACAATCACACAAAGTCTCACAAATAAAACCCTCAACAATCTCTCAAATCTCTCACAATTTCTCTCTCAAAAGGGATGCACAAACCCTCTCAAAGTCGACACGAAAAACTGCTCCAGATCTACACTCAAAGTCGGTGCCTCTGCTTTTATTTTTCTTCGCGTTCTCCCGTTGCACGCATTAACCTAGAGTAGAACAGGAAATCGGGATTTATATACTAATGCAAATTGGGCCGCACCTGGACCACTTCAGCGCCCGACTTCCATTGTGAACGTGGGTGTGTTCACGTGAAGCTGTTCACGTGCTTGTGGCCCCCACGTTCACAATTCTCCACCTCATACATCATTTGATAAACCTCAAATTATGGACGAATACCAGAAGAACACTACGAACATTACCAGAGAGATCCGAGACACCAAAAACATCCAAATGTCTCACTTGTTGCGTCCAGTACGAAGTGGAATAAATCCACGACAACGGACTCAATCCACAACAAGTCCGAAACTCGAACGAGAGCTCAAATAATCTCACCTCCATCAAAATCAACTAATCCAAACCGGCTGCATCGTAAAGACTGCCTACGTATCCTTTGCCCAAGGAATCAATCCTCACGTTGTTCACCCAAATGGTCTCCAAAGGCCTCAACACTGAAGAATGTTCAAAAGCTCCAAATAATGATCAAACTTAACACCTGAAACAACTTTGGTCAACATATTCGTAGGGTTTTCCTTTGTGTGGATCTTCTCTAATATGACATCTCTTGATCTCCATCATCCAAGACATCACGAACGAAGTAGAATCTGACATCAATGTGATTCATGCGTGCATGATAGACCTGGTTCTTTGCCAAATAGATAGTCGACATGCTATCACAATACACCCGAATGGTCTCCTGTACAATCCCCACATACCCCAAGTCCTCCAACAATCCACGCAACCACAAAACCTACTTCACAGCTTCAGTCACTGCCATATACTCCGTCTCTGTAGTAGAGAGAGCCACTATAGACTGAAATGTACATCTCTAACATACTTGTGCTCCTGCCAATGTGAACACATACCCAGAAGTAGACCAGCGCTTGTCAAGATCACTCGCATAATCTGAATCCACATATCCAATACAATCCTGCCATGTCTCCATATTCTTCTGAAATACCAAACCAACATCCACGG